TTGATTATAATCCTATTTTGGGACTGAGCTATTTATAACAACTTGGGGGCTCGTCCGGGATGGTTTTGGTTCCTGGATTTTAATCTAGGAGAGGCGCCCCCACCATTTGGTGGCTCCTGTCCGGAACCAATGCCATCTTGAACCTGAATAAAGGTAAGCAAAGATTTTGATTTTGTTATGAGCTCCCTTGCCGGCTGCAGCATTGTTTTTGCCCGTAATTCTGCGCGCGAAGATCCGAACGAAGACGACGGAGTACATTGATTCTGCTCAGGGCACACACTTTGCTTCTAAAATAATAAGATTATTCTGTCAGTCATTAGGTATTCAGTGGGAATATTCTAAGTGGTATTGGAATATTCTAAGTGGTATTCTTTATCTGCTAGATTATTTCCTCCGGTGTGGTAATCTAATTAGGTATTCAGTGGGAAAATTCTAAGGAGAATCTCCATCCTTTACTGGATGCGGGGGGGGAAACCTTGTTACAAAAGATGAGGAAAAGGCGGAGGTGCTTATGCCTTCTTTGCCTGTCTTTAGCGGCAATACCGGTTGTTCTCTGGCTACCCGGTACCCTGAGCTGGCAGAAGGGGATGGGGAGCTGAATGTGGCCCTCACTATCCACGAAGAAATGGTTGGTGACCTGGTATGGCACTTGGATGTGCGCAAGTCGATGGGGCCGGATGGGATCCACCCGAGGGTACTGAGAGAACTGGCAGAGGAGCTGGCCAAGCCGCTTACCATCATTTATCAACAGTCCTGGCTATCGGGGGAGGTCCCAGTTGACTGGCGGCTAGCAAATGTGACGCCCATCTACAAGAAGGGCCGTAGGGCAGACCCGGGGAACTATAGGCCTGTCAGTTTGACCTCAGTGCCAGGGAAGCTCATGGAGCAGATTATCTTGAGAGTCATCACGCGGCACTTGCAGGGCAAGCAGGCGATCAGGCCCAGTCAGCATGGGTTTATGAAAGGCAGGTCCTGCTTGACGAGCCTGATCTCCTTCTATGACAAAGTGACGCGCTTGGTGGATGAGGGAAAGGCTGTGGATGTGGTCTACCTTGACTTCAGCAAGGCTTTTGACACCGTTTCCCACAGCATTCTCCTCAGGAAACTGGCTGCTCTTGGCTTGGACTGGCGCACGCTTCGTTGGGTTAGAAACTGGCTGGATAGCCGGGCCCAAAGAGTCGTGGTAACTGGAGTCAAATCCAGTTGGAGGCCGGTTACTAGTGGCGTTCCCCAGGGCTCGGTGCTGGGGCCGGTCCTCTTTAATATCTTCATCGATGATCTGGATGAGGGCATTGAGGGTACCCTCAGTAAGTTCGCAGATGACACCAAGTTAGGTGCGTGTGTCGATCTGCTCGAGGGTAGGAAGGCTCTGCAGGAGGATCTGGATAGGCTGGACCGATGGGCTGAGGTCAACTGCATGAAGTTCAACAAGGCCAAGTGCCGGGTCCTGCACCTGGGGCGCAATAACCCCAAGCAGAGCTACAGGCTGGGAGAGGAATGGTTGGAAAGCTGCCAGGCGGAGAAGGACCTGGGAGTATTGGTTGATAGTCGGCTGAATATGAGCCAGCAGTGTGCTCAGGTGGCCGAGAAGGCCAACGGCATCCTGGCTTGTATAAGAAGCAGTGTGGCCAGCAGGGCTAGGGAAGTGATCGTCCCCCTGTACTCGGCTCTGGTGAGGCCGCACCTCGAGTACTGTGTTCGGTTTTGGGCCCCTCGCTCCAAGAAGGACATGGAGGTGCTTGAGCGAGTCCACAGAAGGGCGACGAAGCTGGTGAGGGGTCTGGAGAACAAGTCCTACGAGGAGCGGCTGAGGGAGCTGGGCTTGTTCAGCCTGGAGAAGAGGAGGCTCAGGGGCGACCTTATCGCTCTCTACAGGTACCTTAAAGGAGGCTGTAGCGAGGTGGGGGTTGGTCTGTTCTCCCACGTGCCTGGTGACAGGACGAGGAGGGGGAATGGGCTAAAGTTGCGCCAGGGGAGTTTTAGGTTGGATGTTAGGAAGAACTTCTTTACCGAAAGGGTTGTTAGACATTGGAACAGGCTGCCCAGGGAAGTGGTGGAGTCACCATCCCTGGAAGTCTTTAAAAGATGTTTAGATGTAGAGCTTAGGGATATGGTTTAGAGGGGACTGTTAGCGTTAGGTCAGAGGTTGGACTCGATGATCTTGAGGTCTCTTCCAACCTAGAAATTCTGTGATTCTGTGAATATCATACTCCATGGCACCCACAAAGCTCAGGGAAAGTAGAAAGATTGAATCAAACAACAAAAAAAAAACAACAATTGGCTAAATCAATGATCGAGACACAAATGCCCTGGATGAAATGCTTACCATTGGCACTTCGAAACATAAGAACTAAACCACACAGTGAGACTGGATTATCGCCATATGAAATGTTATATGGTATGCCTTATTCATAGGGAATGCCTCTGGGAAACAATGTAGTTGAGGATCGTAGTATCCAGAAATACATAATTACTGTTGGGAAAAGATTGCAAGAGCTAAGAGAAATTGGAGTGATGGCTCAGACACCACCTTTAGGATTTGCTATTCATAAGATACAACCAGGGGACAAGGTCTTAATAAAAACCTGGAGAGAAGAATCATTGCACCCCCGGTGGGAGGGACCGTACCTTGTTTCACTTACCACTGAAACAGCTGTGAGAACAGCAGAAAGGGGTTGGACCCATGCATCCAGAGTAAAAGGACCAATAAATACCAAAACTTGGAGGGTTGAGTCCGCTCCTGGGGAACTGAAATTAAAGCTAAAAAAGAACTAATGTTCTGGCAATAAGGCTCTGCATAAACTAAGGATGCCAGAAGAAGGGGACAAGCCTGAAGGGAAGAAAGGGAGAAGGCAAGACCGGGGCAGGACTCTCCACTGCGGTGTGTATGGTCTACCGAGGGAGGCAACCCCTATGGGTATTGACCGCCGAGTGAGAGGGCCTCGACCGGACTTCTCCCGCACTAAAGCCAGGTTGTCCCAGGAAAAAGAAACAAACAAGCAAGCAAAGATATATGTATATAATAAATAAGCTTTTTTTTTAACCTATTGTAATTAGTTTTCCAGGAGCTGGATCACCCTCAAAGGCTGAACAGTAACCCAAGCTCAAATAGATCCTGGAAGTGGGCCCAACCCCTTGATTGAAGGCATTTCTCACACCCCCACGATACCCCCTGGACGACGCAGAAGGATGTTATACTTCCTGGTACTATTTTTACAAGGGCAATTAAGCCATGGGAATAACTTTTTCATTCTGGGGGAGGAAGTGGCCAAGGCTTTTAACCTTAGCAATTGCTGGGTTTGTGGGGGACCAGGGGGAGCTGAAAGTTGGCCCTGGGTAGCTGGCCCGGTTGAACCTAAGGGGTGGGTTAGTAATTTGAGTGAAGTTCATAATGGTACACAATTCTGGAAAGGGGAAGAAGGCCCGTGGCAGTTGCACTCGTCAGAGAAAGGTATATACTGTTTAAACAGAACAGGAACAGTAAAGGTGGGAAAAAGCATTTGTAAATGGGCTCTATCTCCTGGATATGAATGTACTGATCCTGAATGTGGACCTAGAAACTGTACAGCAAGTAAAGGGAAATGGAATGCTACGCATGTCCAGCTGAAAAACGGGATTTGGCTGAAATGCTCATATAAGACGTTTTTTGGACCTGGATGTGAAGCCATGGCAAGAGCACAATCAAAGGGACAATTTGACGTTCAAATCCTGAGTTGTCAGCGTGATAACACCAGTAGGGAGCAGCATGTGGTAAAGAGTCTACCGCTGGAGGTGGCAAAATGAGAATGGGACACAAGTGTTCTTTAAACGTTTCTGGTCAGCTCGTAATATGACAAGTCGTGAAGGAGAACTTAGTCGTAATTGTGAGTGGGAATCTAGTGCGGGAGCTTGGAGGTGTATATATATGAGTACTAATGGGGCAAACATTGTAACAGGACCACTTGGTAATGAAAACACTTTGTATTTTCACGCCCCAAGGAATAAAAGAGAACGGGACGGTCCTTTTCCAAATGGGACGTGGGCTCATTATTGGGTGTGTGGCAAACAGGCCTATAAAAGGCTACCAAAGGACTGGTCAGGAATATGCTATGTGGGGTACATAAGACCCTTGTTCTTTTTATTGTCACAAATGCAAGGAAATCACTTAGGAATAAAATTATATGATGATCTGAATAGAGAAAAACGATCTATTGATGCTTCCTTAGCCGGAGGTAGTGCTCAAAAACGGAGAGAAAATGAATGGCCCCCTGAAAGAATCATACAGTATTATGGACCGGCTACCCGGAACCCGAATGAGGTAATATCTGGAGCCCGAGAACCTCTTCATAATTTGAATCGAATAATTAGGTTGCAAGCTGTCCTCGAAATAATAAGCAATCAAACAGCGACAGCTTTGGATCTTTTAGCTGACCAGTCCGCCCAGATGAGGAATGCTATTTTTCAACATAGAATGGTTTTAGACTATTTACTAGCAGAATGGGCGTGGGGGTGGGAAACTAAATGATTCTAATTGTTGCTTACAAATTGACGGTAATGGGAAAGTGGTTAAACAGATAACAAAAGAAATTAGAAAATTGGCCCACGTCGTGGCACAAACTTGGAAGGGTATGGATTGGGATTTATTTTCTTGGCTGCCTGGTGGACCATGGGTTAGAAGGATGTTATTTTTATTTTTATGTGCTGTAATGATGTTATTATTCATACCTTGTATGATACCTTGCTTTACATTATTGATGCGCCGGATGATAAATAGTACATTTGTAATGACTTCATTAAAAAAGGAAGTCAATTATGATGCTTAAGAATTGGACCCTCTGAGAACGGACTGATGAACTCCAGTTATTAATGACAAAAGTTGAAAAAGAGACACGAATTGAGGATATTAAAAAGAAGATAAGGGATTGTGAGGAATGTTTTAACAATGTGTGTCAATAGAGAGCTTGAAGGAAAATGTATTCGTATGTTCTTTCCTTGAAGTCTCTGATACCTGGGGGTTTCAGAACAACTGCTAACTGTTATGACTTCTGAATGGGACACTATGCAAGCCCCTGATATCTTGATATCTGGCCAGGAGATTAGGGAGAAGGGAAAAGCTGAAGGACGGCTAAAAGACAAAGCTTGCAGGGAACGCTGTGCAAGCTTTTGACATACAGCCAAGGAGTGCAAAGAAGAAGGACAAGAAAAAAAAAAGCCTGAGAGGAAGACTATGAGCCTTCATCATGAAAGACCCCCAGAGGGAGCACCAGAGACTGATAGGCATGCTCCAGTAGGAGGGTTCAGATTCCGGAACTAATCATAATAACTCCGTTGTTTTTTTTAGAAATAGTAATGAATACGTATTAGTCTAGGAGCATAAAAAAATCAGCATCTTGATGTAACGGGTGTGCGACTTGGTGGAGCGGAGACTCCCGGCGCACCCAGCGCTGTTTGCTTACCTCTATTCTTTTAATAAATTTTAAACTTAGTGTGATAAATTAGTAGGGGTTTGTTCATTGTCCTTGAGAATTTAAAGAATCCACGGAGGAGATAAGTTTTCACAACTCACAGCATTGTAACATGGGGACAAATGGGGAAGGGGGGTTGGGTAAACATCCCTGTTAAAACAAAGATTCTGTAAGATACCACCCATCCACCACAAGACATCTTGTTTTGCCCCCACCTGAACACAAGCACAACGCATGGTCACTGGAGGAAGAATAATGACCCCCGACAACAGACTGCGCAGCCTCAGAACAAGTCTCGACAAGTCAACAAGTCTCGACAAGCCGGAACTTCAATGCTATAAAACAGCAACACTGGAAAGGGGAAGTTGTGTGCCGTGGTGGAGCAGAGACTCCCCAGGCGTCCAGCGCTGTTTTGCTTGTGTCTGCTTGCTTAATTAATAAAATAATTTCAATAGACCAGTAAATTGTGTGGTCTAACTTGTAACAATTTGGTGCTGTGACTCGGATGAAGGCAATCTGATTGAAAGACCTTCGGAGGGGGCGCCCCGCTGATTTCAGCGGCCTTCGCTAGGACTACTTTCATTCAAATCCTTCACCGACGAACCCAAAATTAGACGCAAGCAAATAAAACCGGTAAACTCCAGGCAACCTTTGTGCACGAAGCCTGAACGAAGACCCACGGGATGGGTAAGTATAGGCTGGTGGTCCGTTCGGTTGGGGTTGGGTATCCCAGAACACAACAAACGAGACGTCCAATTGCGGACGAAGCGAGTGTGGACCCCTCGGTAGTGCGGTTCCCACATCCCGCGAGGGACTGGGCCACGAAAAGGGGGAAGCGATCCGTGTGTGTGTGTGTATGAAGGTGTTCCGGAAGATGGGACAGAAGAAGAGTAAGCCTTCTGGTCCCATGGGTGGGGTAACGTCTGATGTTAGGTTACCCCGGCATTAATGATTAAAAATTGGCAGGATTCCCCTTTTAGGCGGGGAAGGAATAAAGTAAAAATGATACTTTATTGTGTTGAAGTTTGGGGTGGTAAACAGATTCGAGGAGACCACCTTTACTGGCCTGTATTTGGGTCCTTTGAAGATTGGGTTTGTCAGGCCTAAATATTTATGTAAACTCAAAGGAACCCTTTAGTCTGGAAGAAAGTGAGTATGCGCGCACGCCTCTGGATAAATTCAGATACAAGGATGCACCTATAGCCTCTAAAAGAAAAAGGAGGGCGGGATAAAAAGAGAAAGGACTTGGAAGTCCCGACACTGCCCCCACCCTATATTCCACCGCCCGCACCAACGGCTCCCGTCCTTAATGGACTCCCCAAATTAGCTAATCCAGGAGAATCGGAATTGGATCATGAAACACAGGGGCCGGTAACCAGAAGCAGGGCAAGAAATCAGAAATCTGCTTTAAGGGAGGGATTATATCCCCTACGAGAAATAGAGATGGGGGGACCCCAGTCAGGAATGGAATATGTGGCCATCCCCATTAACTCCGGGGACGTCTGAGATTTTAAGAAAAGGACAGGAGGAGGGTAAGCGAGCTTTAATGGCAACTGGCATAATGTTTGCAGCTGCTGAGGAATAATTCTAACTGGAATAATAACTGTACATTGTATATTGTATATATAAAAGCCCGGGCATTTTTTGTTAAAGTGTTCTTTTATACATATGTTAATATGTAAATATGTAAATATAAGGACTGCCATTGAGGTGTATGTCTAAGGGAACAAAATTTGCCCAGGCATATCATCGGCTCATCAGGTTTAAATGTCCTCAGTGTAATTGTCAAGAGGCAGTTAATTTACAGTGGTCTGATTTTATTTGTGTATCTATATATTGTGGATTTTGGAGGGATTGGGACTGACTAGTAAAGAGCTTCTAGGAAAACAGTGGAATATTAACCACTGTAGATTACAATAGGAAAAGTTCAAAGCAAAGAAATCCCGAGGAAAAGCCCTCTAGGATGTATACTAACACATTGGAGGGATATAGTGGGGTAAGAGGGTACAGAAAGTAAAAGAACTCTTATCAAATATTGTAATCAATGGTGGCCACTTTATAAACTAGAGGATGGAGCGGAGTGGCCCCTAAATGGAACTATTAATTATAACACCATATTACAGTCAATGTTGTTTTTGTGGAAAGAAGAAAAATGGGATGAAATATGGTATATTGATTGATATGTTGTTTCAGTATCTTGGAGGGAAAAGGTATGGAATTAAGTTGGACTCTGACTGAGCCTTTGGTGCTGGTATTAGAAAAGTACAGGCTGGAGAAAGATAAAGGAAGTGTTAAAAGGGTTGCTGAAGGTGTTAAAAGTGTGACATGTAGTATTTAACAGAGCTGTTTGAAATTGAATGAGCAGGGAAAGGTGATGTAGGCATTATCTAAGTAACAGTCTAGAAGTTTTGGTATATTTGCATATTTGCTGCGGTGTTTGTTCAGTTTCCCAAGCATCGGGGAGGGGGGAACAGCCTGCTCCACCAGGGGCCTCTCCAGTGGCCGTAGGGGGGCTTCGGCTCCAGCGCCTGGAGCGCCTCCTCCCCCTCCTTCTGCACTGACTTAGGTGTCTGCGGGGGGGTTTCTCGCTCTCCCAACTGCTGTTGAGCGGCAGGTTTTTGTTTGTTTCTTTGTTTGTTTGTTTTCGTGGATGTGCTCTCACAGAGGCACGGACTGTATTGCTCATGGCTTGGCTCTGGGCAGCAGTGGGCCCCTTTGGGGCCAGATGAAATTGTCCCTTATCTACCACGGGGAGGTTTCTGGGTTTTTCTCACGGGGGCTGCCACTGCAGTTTCCCACCCCCACACCCCTCACACCCCCCGAACCTTGCCATCAAACCCAATACACTGGGGCAGCTAAGTCATTACTGACTTGTAAAGTATCAGGGATTAAATTAAATAATGAAACCCTAAATGTGATGGGGGTAGAAGGGGCTGGGATAACAGTGCCACTTTTGGGGAATACCAAGCTGAGACCAGGGGATAAAATGATCACTGGGCAATTATTGTATGTATCCAAGGCAGAGACTAACTTGTTGAGAAGGGATTTGATGATTAAATTGGGCATTCAACTAGTAAACCGTTAGACTGGAATAACAGTGTTATTAATGGAGTGCTCTCAGGCCCTGAGAGCAAACATATATTCACCTTTGACTGGAAAGACCCTGAAATGGGGGCGGAAGCAACAATATAGGTGGACAATTTTACCTCAGGGGTTTACAGGGCCACCTATCTATTTGGATAAGTTCTAAAAAAGATTTTGGAGCAATTACAAATATGTGGAAAATCGATACTCCCTGATGGGAGAGAAATGCTGAATAAAGTGATAATGAGGCAAATATTAACTGTTTTACATCAGAAGAGTCATTGGGAGGTGCAAGCAATGTGTGATGTTCTAAGAAAGCATGTCTGTGTAGGAATATATACTTTAGGGAAGCACACATGCAGAGGATGTACCATATGTCAAAAGGGTAAATAAAAAGGTCTTCTGTAACCTATCTAGAGGGGGACGGGAGCCAGGGCTTTGACCTTTCCAAAGTATACAGGTAGACTTTACTGAGTTACTTGTTTGTCCTAATTGACCACATGACTGAATGGGTGTAAAGCTTTACTGCAAGGATTAAAGCACGTCTTAGAGATTGAGTGGGACTTTCACAGCCCCTGGCACCCCTCCTCTTCTGGAAAGCTAGAGCGAATGAATGGTGAAATTAAGAAACAACTAACAAAACTTATGCTGGAAACTAAGGCTTCTTGGGTAAAATGCTTACCCCTTGCACTGTTAAACATATGGATGCAGCCCAGAACTGATGTAGGAATTTCTCCTTTTGAAATGCTATAGGGTATGCCCTATGACTTGGAATTACCACTTGATCACCCTCAATTCTAATTAAGACTTGGAAAGAGACTTTTTTAACACCACGATGGGGAAGGCCCCTATGTTGTTTTGCTTACTACAGAAACAGTCGTCTGGACTGTGGAGAAAGGATGGACACATGCCAGCCGTGTTAAAGGACCCATCTGTGATGAGAAGTGGGAGATCGCTCCAGGAAACAAAGACCTGAAGCTCACATTGCGACGAACTCGATAGGTACCGTGGGTTAAGGTAGAGGCTCTCCCCTGAAGAACACTACTGCTGCCGAGAAGAACTAAAACCTCGTAGTTGGCTGCAACCCAACTGACGAGTGAGGCAGAGGAGTGAATAAGTGGGGAAAGAAATGGGCCTCAGCCATTCCTATCGGTATTTGGGGGTTCTCGCAGTGATTTCATCCTGCATAGCGACTCAACACCACCCCCACCAACCTTTTAAATGGACTTTAAGTCAATTCGAAGATCAACAGGTTATTGCAACCCAGATAACATCAGGGGGGGCAAGCTTTACTTCTACACTATGTCAGCTGATCTCGAGGCCCCAGTGCTGGGAATATATGGGATTTTATTTCTGCCCAAGTTCTAACCCGGGAAAGGGGTACTGTAAATGCCTGAACGTGTATTATTGTGCATACCGGGGGTGTGAAACCATTGCTACAGACTGGACACTCGATGCTGGTCGGGATAAATTCTTACAAGTGGGATATGGGCTGCAAGGTTGTAACCGACAATTGGATCCCTGTTACAGGTGGCGAGGGCATGGTATAGGGTATACAGGAACCTTCCACAGAAATAAAGAAATTTGAAAGGTTCTATATATAAATATAACAAACTCGGACGATACTAGCTGGGTACTAGGAAAAATGTCAGATTTTACGAACACGGAACAGATAGGGGAGGACTCATACTAATAAAGAAGGAAAAACCCGAGACTTCCAAGGTAGTTGGGACTAATAAAGAGTTAATAGGGGAAGGTTTGGTTGTCCAGACTGTAAAGATACCTGGGACTGCCCAACCTACTACAGTGTTTTCTAATAAGTCGACAGAGTTATCCTTTCCCACACTGCTTCCAAGCATTGTGAATAAAGAAAGGGGTTGTACCCGAGAGTAGTATGTGGAAAGTTATAAATGCTAGTTTCCAGGTACTAAATCAAACTAATTCTGAGATAACTGAAGGGTGCTGGCTATGTGTAAGTGTTAAGCCCCCATATTATGAAGCTATAGGAGATATGGGGAGGTCTGAATATTCAAACGAGTCAAATCCTTCCAAGTGCAGTTGGGGTCAGGAAATCGGGATAACTTTGACTCAAGTTACGGGAAAAGGTAGATGTATCGGCACAGTTCCAAGAGATAAAAATGATATGTGCCATGCCACTGAAAAAAAAAAAAAAAATAAAAATGGACCAAACACACAAATGGTTAATTCCTGCAAATAACACTAGGTGGGTATGTTCATCATTGGTAGTCACTCCTTGCCTATCTTTAAAATTGTTTAGCACATCTCATGATTTTTGTGTACAGGTGGTCATTATACCAAGGATTCTATACCACACTGAAGAGTATATGTATACCCATCACACAGTGGCTGAATACCATCTGGTAAAGAGGGAGCCTATTACGGCCGTCACCTTAGCCACTTTAATGGCCCTTGGGGCTGCAGGTGCAGGACTAAATTGCGGGAAGGATTAGAAAAATGCAAAAGGGAAAAAGAGGCTCGTCAGAATTGGTATGAATCCTGGTTTAATTACTCACCTTGGCTTACTACCCTGCTATCAACCATAGCGGGGCCCTTGTTGTTACTTATATTAACACTGACTTTTGGACCATGTATATTCAATCGAGTAATCGCAATTGTGAAATGTCGATTAGAAGCTGCTCATCTTATGCTTGTGCGTGCTAAGTATGAATCTCTTGAGCAGGAGGAGGACGACGCAGAAACTTTGATGCTCAGCAAGCAAATATTGCAAAAATTCAATGAACAAAATATGTTAGAAAAAGAAAAAGGAGGGATTGTGATAAATTAGTAGGGGTTTGTTCATTGTCCTTGAGAATTTAAAGAATCCATGGAGGAGATAAGGTTTCACAACTCACAGCATTGTAACATGGGGACAAATGGGGAAGGGGGGTTGGGTAAACATCCCTGTTAAAACAAAGATTCTGTAAGATACCACCCATCCACCACAAGACATCTTGTTTTGCCCCCACCTGAACACAAGCACAACCCGTGATCACTGGAGGAAGAATAACGACCTCCAACAACAGACTGCCCAGCCTCAGAACAAGTCTCGACAAGTCGACAGGTCTCGACAAGTCAACAAGTCTCGACAAGCCGGAACTTCAATGCTATAAAACAGCAACACTGGAAAGGGGAAGTTGCGTGCCGTGGTGGAGCGGAGACTCCCCAGCCGCCCAGCGCTGCTTTGCTTGTGTCTGCTTACTTGATTAATAAAATAATTTCAATAGACCAGTAAATTGTGTGGTCTAACTTATAACACTTAGGATTATAATCAATTTTGGGACTGAGCTACTTATAACATGATCCAGCTACGTGGGCAGAAGAAAAGCAAGTCCTATGGCGACATGGCACCCCAGAAAGAATAGAGTCAGACAATGGGACTCACTTCCGAAACAACCTTATAGACACTTGGGCCAAAGAACATGGTATTGAATGGGTGTATCGCATCCCCTATCATGCACCAGCCTCCGGGAAAGTTGAACGATACAATGGCCTGTTAAAGACTACCTTGAAAGCAATGGGCGCTGGGACGTTCAAAAACTGGGATACGCATTTGGCAAAGGCCACCTGGTTAGTCAATACTAGGGGATCTACCAACCGAGCTGGACCTGCTCAATCAAACCTGTTACGTACTGTAGATGGGGATAAAGTTCCTGTAGTGCATGTAAAAAATATGCTGGGTTGTTGAGGGATTTCTTGAAACAGCAAAAATCCCATGGCTTGCTGTAGCTGAGCAAACCAAGCTACCAGGGCAACTATGAGAAGTTCCCATGACAGTGTTCCCACATCGCCCAATTGAGGAACTCAGAAAAATATTGTTACCAGTAGCTGGCTTCAAGGACAAGGTCTATGTGACTGCTAATCACAAGGGGGTTGTTTTCTTGCAGGTGGGGTTGTTTTCTTGCAGTTGTTTGTCTGAGTGCTTTTGACCAATAATCTTGTGTGAAACACTGTCCACCCCTGTTAAGTTCTCTATAAAAGTTAGGCTATTCGGGCAATAAAATGGAGCATGATCTGACTCTACTGGTGTCTGTCGTGCTTTCGGCCGTGCTTCCTGCAACACTGGGTAAAACAGTCTGGGCTACTCCTGCCTCAGGAAAAGGCAAACCTATTCGTGGAATTGTTTTCGCTCAGGGACCTGGATACACTTGATGGGTGATGCAAAAGAACGGAGAGGTCCGGTGTGTACCTCAAGGAGATTTAATACTGGGTGAGAATAGCCCATGAACTGAATTGTACCATGTTAATTAGTATATTATACTGTATGTTATCACTACCATGATTACTATAGGTGACTAATTAGAATGTATGGAAAAGAGTGTAACCTGAGCATGACATAAATGGTATGGAATAAGGGGTGGATAGATGTCCTGGTTTCAGTTAGAACAGAATTAATTTTCTTCCTAGTAGCTGGTGGAATGCTGTGTTTTGGCTTAGGATGAGAAGAGTGCTGATAACACCCCGATGCTTTAATTGTTGCAGAGCAGTGCTTATACTAAGCCAAGGACATCTCAGCCTTTTGCTCTGTCCTGCCAACGGGCAGGCTAGGGGTGCAGTAAGAGCTGGGAGGGGACAGACCCAGGACAGGTGACCCAAACTAGCCAAAGGAGTATTCCATACCATCTGACGTCATGCTAAACAATATATAGGGGTGGCTAGCCGGGGGGAGGGGGCCGGACTGCTCGGGGTTAGGCTGGGCATAGGTCAGCGAGTGGTGAGCAATTGCATTGTGCATCACTTGTTTGTACATACTATAATTACTTTCATATTATCACTATTGTATCGTTATTATTATTATTGTTATTATTATTTTTGTTATTATTATTTTCCTGTCTTATTAAACTGTCTTTATCTCAACGCACGGGCTTCACTTTCCATTTCTCTCCCCCGTCCCAGAGAGGGAGGGGGAGGGTGAGCGAATGGCTGCGTGGCGTTTAGCTGCCGGCCGGGGTTAAACCACGACAGACACGAATTGAGGATATTAAAAAGAAGATAAGGGATTGTGAGGAATGTTTTAACAATGTGTGTTAATAGAGAGCTTGAAGGAAAATGTATTCGTATGTTCTTTCCTTGAAGTCTCTGATACCTGGGGGTTTCAGAACAACTGCTAACTGTTATGACTTCTGAATGGGACACTATGCAAGCCCCTGATTTCTGGCCAGGAGATTAAGGAGAAGGGAAAAGCTGAAGGACGGCTAAAAGACAAAGCTTGCAGGGAACGCTGTGCAAGCTTTTGACATACAGCCAAGGAGTACAAAGAAGAAGGACAAGAAAAAAAAAAGCCTGAGAGGAAGACTATGAGCCTTCATCATGAAAGACCCCCAGAGGGAGCACCAGAGACTGATAGGCATGCTCCAGTAGGAGGGTTCAGATTCCGGAACTAATTATAATAACTCCATTGTTTTTTTTAGAAATAGTAATGAATACGTATTAGTCTAGGAGCATAAAAAAATCAGCATCTTGATGTAACGGGTGTGCGACTAGGTGGAGCGGAGACTCCCGGCGCACCCAGCGCTGTTTGCTTACCTCTATTCTTTTAATAAATTGTAAACTTTGATTATAATCCTATTTTGGGACTGAGCTACTTATAACATGATCCAGCTACGTGGGCTGAAGACGGATCCTGGGGCTATAGGACCCCAATATATATGCTTAATAGAATAATTAGGTTAGAAGCTGTAATAGAAATAGTTGTAAATAAAACCGGAGATGCACTTGGATTAATTGCAAGGCAAAATACTAAGATGAGGACTGCTTTGTATCAAAATCGCTTAGCTTTGGATTATTTGCGCAAGAAGAAGTCTGTGGAAAATTTAACCTTAGTAATTGCTGTTTTATAGATTTGTGATGAAGGTGTTTCTTCCTAGTAGCTGGTAGAATGCTATGTTTTGGCTTAGGATGAGAAGAGTGCTGATAACATGCTGATGTTTTAATTGTTGCAGAGCAGTGCTTAGGCCAAGCCAAGGGCGTTTCAGCTTCTCACTCTGTCCTGCCAGCGAGCAGGCTGGGGGTGCAGTAAGAGCTGGGAGGAGGGCCGGACTGCTCGGGGTTAGGCTGGGCATCGGACAGCGGGTGGTGAGCAATTGCATTGTGCATCACTTGTTTCATACACGTTATTATTAGTAATACTATTATCATAACGATTGTCTTTATTGTTATTGTTATTATTTATCTGTCTTTATCTCAACTCACGGGCTTCGCTTTCCCGTTTCTCTCCCCATCCCAGAGAGGGAGGGGAGAGGGTGAGCGAACGGCTGTGTGGTGTTTAGCTGCCGGCCGGGTTAAACCACAACAGAAGGAAAAGCTGTAAATGAACTTGTAAAAGAAACGAAGAAAATTGCACATGCCCCAGTTCAAACTCGCAATGGAATCGAGCTAGGAGGATTATCGGGGGGGGGGGGGGGGGGGGGGGCTTTATGGGTGTTGATTGGCTTACTAAAAGTGGGATGGTTGTACTGGGGGATATGTGGAGGATTTTAATAATTCCATGTTTTACCAGACCAATACACTCGGTTATACAAGGAATGCAAATACCTGCGGTACCTGTTGTGGGAATAGAAATGTTGTTTTTGCAGAGTTCCGTTGTTTAGAGGGAAGGAACGTGGTACTGAGATATGCTTGCAGTGATAAGAAAGCTTAGCAGGCGACCTCGTAAAATGCAGACAACCGGACTCCTTAGGACAATTAGGTGAAAATGGCGGTGTCAAGTCAGATAAGTGAAGAAACATTACCACATCAGATAGGTTGTGAACCTGGATTACCCCCTCAGTGGGGAAACAGGGGAGGGTCCTGTCATCAAAAAGCGTATAAACTGTGTTTTGGAACTAGTAGGCGCGCTCTCCTGCTTGTGGGGCGCCCGCCATTGCAATCAATCGCGAGTAAATTACTACTTCGCTGAGATCCTCGCCTGAGCCTAAGCTATCGGCTACGGAGCGTTTCTCACCCTCCCTTCCAACCCAAGCCACGCTCTGATTCTATGAGCGGAGCGCCTGTTCTGTGGAGCTCGTTTCCCAGCCGTGCAGGGCCCAGATTCCCTCCGCGGAGCCGCCCAGCCCGTTTTCGGGCGCCCACTTCCTCCCTCCCGGTCGGCTCCCTCCGCGCCCCGAGGGCACGCGACCTCCCTGAGCGCCGATAAGCACCGGGTCGACGGGAGCGGAGCCGCCGAGAGGGCGGGGACAAGGGAAGAGGGCAGGCGAGGCAGCCAATCGAGGCGCGGGGGCGGTCGGCGGCGATCTGTCGGCCCAATGAGCGCCGCGGAGGGCCGGGCCGAGTGCGGGAAGTGAGGGGGCGTTGTACCGAGCGGGCGCCGTCATGGCCGACGGGATTGTTAGGGCGCAGGCCGCCTGGCCCGGTGGCGGCGCTGCCGCTGCTTTCGGAGAGGTCGCCTGCAAGGGCAAGGAGGTCCCCGCCAACGTTCTCCGTGAGGATGAGCGGTCGTGGACGAGGAGGTAGCCGCGGCGTTGTTGTGCGAGTCTTTCCTTCCTTTCCCTCGGCCGCTCGCAGGCCCTCTGAAACGAGGGCCCGTCGCGGGTCCCGGGAGTGCGGCAGGGCGGGTGGTGGCCTTGCTGCGGGAGGGAGGGAGGGAGGGACGGTCGGTCGGTCGGTCGGTCGGTCGGGGTCTCTCCGGCTCGTGGCGCTCTCTACTGCAGCGCCTCTAAAACGCCGCGCTTCTTCGGTGCCTGCCCCCGGGGTGCCACGGCGCGTACTGGGTCGCCGGCGCAGTCGGTCTCCTTGGGGGTTCGGACTGTATGCATATAGGCAGTGAGCATCGCAGTAGTGACCGTAATCAGTCGTTTCTGCGCTGGTGATAGCGTTGCAGAGACGCCCCGGCTCGGCTGTGCTAGGCTTTGGTTATGGCACCACCCCCACCGCGCACACGAGCGCACGCTCTCTCCAAAGTGGCTTGTGAAAGGGAAGAATTGCAGCTTTTCCTAGCTTTCTTAAACGCCTAGAAACCAGTCAATCCCGCAGGCTGCGAGAGCTTCCCAGCTCTCATTTCCGTGCTGGAGGTGGGCCGTGATAAGAGCATGCTGGCAAGGTTCACTGATGCTGGTGCGCCGCAACGTGCTAGGAGCTAAGTGAGCAGCTGCGGAGAGTTATGAAAAAGTTGCAGATGTTATCTGCAAGGTGCTAACTTTAAGTTAGTGTCCAGCCTAACCGTTGTTGCTGTTCTTAAATTTGAAATGCTAAAGATAGGACAGTTAGGGATTTCCTCTGCTTCTGACGGCAGGGTTTATCTGCAGCGTGGAAAACAGGCCCTTAGTGAAAGGGGCTGCGTTGCCCGCTCTGCGTGCTGACTCGTAGAATGGTTAGGCTTGGAAGGCACCCTTAAAGATCATCTAGCCCAACCCGCCTGCCGCGGTCAGGGACGTGTTTCACTAGATCGGGTTGCTCAAAGCGTTGACGCGTTGCTTGGAACAGCGCTTTCTTAATAGGTCTCGGTAATGTTGCAGCTGCCGCCCGTTTGGAGTACTGGAAGCGTTCAACTGCTCTCCGGAAACCGTGCTTGCGGTAGCGCCCTGCCTTTACCAAAGGGCGCGTTTCCTGTCTCCTTCGTGTTGAAGGCTGCGCGAGGAGTCTGTGTGTGTGTGTGTGTGTGCGCGTGCGCGCATCTGTTTTGACTCGGCCGTACTGGCTGCAGCAACGTATGTAACCTGAACGCTGTGCTTGATTGGAGAACCAGGCCGTTAACTTGAGTCTGATGAGTGACTTGAGAGCAGACAACCTACTCTGACCGCTCTTAGTGCGACACGTTTCCTGGAGGACGAATTAGTTGCAGTTTCTCGCTTGGTCTTAACTTGAGGCGGGGGGAGGGGGCGGGGGGCTTAGAACCACTTCTGGAGCGTAGTTGGCTAGCAGTTTCTGTCTGCTGGTGATTTGGGGAGTTCCCTCGCAATTAGTTGCGAGTTGATAGTTTCCCACAGGTCGGTGGTATTCGTGTTTCGAAGGTGATGCCTTGGCCTCGGTCTGGAGGTGTCTGACGTCGGGCCGGCCGTAACGGGCTAATTTGGAACGTTCCTTCTCCTGAGTAGGTGGCGTTCTCGAGGACGGAGAGTTAATACGGCCTCAGCCGGATTACTCCAGGTTCTTTGAAGATGCCTTCCTGCTTCTGGCCGAGGCAATATTTGGACGTAACCGAAGGACGGTTAGCCATTGTTTGCCGCTTGTGTGTCTTGTGCGTAGAAGGTAGAGAACTTTGCCTATTCAAAGCTCGCTTAAGAAGAATGGCTGTTTTGTCGTGCGCGTTTGGGGCGCCTGATAATCTGCTTCGGTAGGGCGAGTTCAGTGGGGCATAGTGATTTGCTTAAGCTGTTGCCTTTCTCTGAAGCCGACTACGTTTTAACTGTTTACTCTTCCTCCAGTGCCTTGCGTTCCGTGATAGTTCGCCTCAGGCTCCAGTGTTTTTTCCTAGTCCTTCCTGAGAAGGTAGTTGTCCGGTTATGTGAAGCAGAAGATTCTGGCGGACCCGTGAGTACTGTGGGAGCTTTCTGTTCGCTAGGCTGGCTGTACCTGTAACTGGTTTGTAACTTCCTAGACTCTTTCCCGTCCCCTCTTTTCCTCTGGATGTTGCAGAGGGGCGCACAGTAGGCTATTTGGGGTTGTCTGATGCTGTAGTCTTTCGCCTCTAGCTTGTAATGGAGCTGAGCTTTTTGACTGAGAGCAGTGATATAAAGCGATGCTCGTCTCCAGCTACGCGCTTGCAGTGCAAAAAGCAGCGTTGTTCCGACGTGCGGTCTGATGCCCGTTTTCACGGTTTCCGGACAGCGGGGGTGGTGCCTTGACTATGCAGAAGAGGGCTTGGGGTTTGGTCAGGTCAGAGGCGAGGAAAGGGAAAGCTGGTTGAGCGGCGCTTGGGTGTTTGTTTCGCTGTTAGCTATGCAAGTCAAGTTCCAAGGCTCTGTGAGCTCACGCAAGAGAAAAGGCACCGTGAAGCTTTTATTTTCCGCCAGAGCGGCTTACGTTGCCCGAAGCTATGACGGGGGCTTTAAGCCCCGAGACAAATTCAGCTTCTGTGACTGTTTTGTAGTCTGTTACTGTCTAGAGGGTAATTCAAAGAGCAGTGGTTGAATTGTGAAGGATTAGCTAACCGTGTTCTGTGGGTGGTTCTCCGCTCGCGTTCATTCTGTGCGTCGTGGCGCAGCACGTTAGGTGACGTTATTTCCTTTTTCCAGCTTCTTGGGCGTTTCGTGGTTGTTGGCAAGAAGTGTGCTGCTAACCTGGACCTGACCAATGGATTCCGGATGGCTGTGAATGCCCACCCTCGGGCCCTTCAGACTATCGTGTACATCTACGTATTCTGGGTGGCGGTCAGTTGGGCCGGCCTCCCGGCTAAGGTTTTTGCACCGCAGGCATCACTGCACGCGTACAGGTCGCCGCCGAATAGGTTTCATATGTTGCCCATCAGTCTAGCCCCTGTTGATGTTTGATTTATTATTTTTTTTGGACGGCTGTCTATGGAGGGTAAGAAAGAGCTTTGAGCAGCGTTTGCACAATAAAGATGGAGCATGGGGATATCACCTCTGTCTTGCGTGTCTTACCGATGGAAATAGTTCCGCAAGTTAAAACGGCGTCTCCCTGGAGCGCACGTGTGTAGAATGTTTTGGTCCGTTGACAGTGTCGTGTAGGTGGTGGTTTGCCCATTCATTTGGAACGCGAAGCTAGAAGCGCTCGGCGGTCCTGTGGGTCTCCGTCTTCCTAAGACGATCTAGGATGTGCTGTGTGTTTGAGGCCTTGCTATCTTCCCCCTGCTCCCAAATAAAAGGGCACGCTTTTATTGCGAAATAGCCGTGTTGAGGACTGGCAGATGTAGAACCAGAGAAGAATAAGGTTGGAAGAAAGCTTCCAGGCATTGTCTGTTGTCTGCCCCTGTCCCGAGGAGGAGGCAGAACAAGCTCTACCGGGTGTGATTTCTGACAGGTGCTTGTCAGCCTGCTCTTGACTACCCTAGGAGTTTTGCTACCGCTTTCTTTTCAGTCCTCGTCGTGGCTTTCGCAACTTTGAGAAGGAATTCCTCCCACAGGATGTAGAAGGCTCTGGGATTCTTGAGTCGGCTTCTGATAAGTTCGAGACTTGGCTGCCGTTCTCTTTATTTTTTTTGTATTTATTTTTAGTGTCTTTTTTTTTTTCCCTAAACGAAGTCCGTTGTTCAGTAACTAGAAGAAGGATTAGGTAAAGGCACCATAAGGCTTTTAAATGCGATCACCTCTCGTGCTTTGTTAGACCTCTGGCTTCGCTCTGCTCCTTGTTTAATCGCGATTACATTCAAGGCTTACTGGAGCGTGGGAACGTTAAAATGCTATTAAATACTCTTAGTGTTTGAAACTTGCTAAATGAGATGATTTTTGTGACTCCGTTCCTCATAAAGAAACTTGATTCGTTAGCAGGAGAAATTATCTTTGTTACTGGATCTGTTTGCGGGGTTAACGATTGCAGCTGTGAATGACTAAAGTCTTTTGAGGAAGCTGAATGATAAAAACCAAACCAAGAAACAGCCCTTGGTCTACTCGAAATAATATAGGATTTGCCGTTTGTGGGGTCACGTGAAAATAGTCGTGCAAGTCAACTAGTTTGGGGGGGAGGGGTGGGTGAAGGTGGAGATGCTGTTGCCCTTTCAGAGAAAGCTTCTTAAGTTGGCACTTGACCAACTGTTCTATTTCCGTATTTTCCCTTGGTCTCTTTCATTGATCTGTTTTGTTGACCTAGAAGAGCCGATGGAACTGCTCAAAGAAACGTGCTCAAGTGGACCTTGAGTAAGTATTTACATGTTCAACTGTTCCCCAGTCGGTCTAGCTAATGCTATCAGCGCTTGTATTCTTTTACAAAAGATGTTTAATTCCCGAGACAGGAGAGGAGGAAGACCACTGGTAATCTCTCTGCTTAAGAGGCACTGTTAGGCAACCGCAGAAGGCGAAGAAACTTGCCCCCGAGGCACCAATCTGACCCTTCTTTTAGCCTGTATGCTTTCAAAGAGCATATCATAGAAGCATAGATTGGGCAGGGTTGCCAACCACTAGAACAGGCTGCCCAGAGCTGCATCCAGCCTGGCCTTGAACGCCTCCAGGGATGGGGCATCCACGACCTCCCTGGGCAACCCGTTCCAGTGCCTCACCACTCTCTAAGTGAAAAACTTTCTCCTAATATCTAACCTAAATCTCCCCTGTCTTAGTTTAAAACCACTCCCCCTTGTCCTATCGCTATCAACGCGTGTATTTTTACTCCTGTTTATACAGAATCACAGAATCGTAGGGGTTGGAAGGGACCTCAAGAGATCATCGGGTCCAACTCCCCTGCCAAAGCAGGTTCCCTAGAGCAGGCTGCCCAGGTAGGCGTCCAGACGGGCCTTGAACATCTCCAGAGAAGGAGACTCCACAACCTCCCTGGGCAGCCTGTTCCAGTGCTCCGTCACCCGCACCGTGAAGCTGTTCTTTCGCACGTTGGTGCGGAACTTCCTGTGGTGGCTTTACCGTGCTAGGCAGCTAAACACCACAGCCGCTCTCTCGCTCCCCCTCCTTAGATGAGGAGGGGAAGAAGTAAAGGAAAGAACAACTCACGGGTTGAGATGAGGATAATTGAATTAAAGGGAAAAAATAATAATCTTTCCTTGATAATAATAACGATTATTATTATTAACTAAACAATTTAACTAAAGGGGAAAAAAAGGAAAAAACCAAAACGAATAAAGGCTACGTGGAAGTGCAGAGGAAAGAAATTACTCTCTACTTCCCACAAATGAGCGATGCTTGACCACGTCCTTGAAGCAGGGCCTCAACGCGCGTAGCCGGTGTTCGGGAGGAAGACCGACGTTTTCACAAGGAGAGCCCAGCCTTCCCCTCTTCTTCCTGTTTCCACCTTTTATTGCTGAGTGTGACATCGTACGGTATGGAATATCCCTTTGTTTGGTTGAAGTCAGCTGCCCTGGTGATGTTTGTCTTCTCGCTTTTTTGCTCACCCCCTAGGAGGGTTAGAGAGAGTCCTGATGCTGTGCCAGTGCTGCTCGGCAGTAGACGCAACACTGGTGTGATACCACTGCTGTTCTAGCTACAAGTGCAGAGCACAGCACTGTATGGGCTGCTGCAGGGAAAGTTAACATCCCAGCCAGACCCAGTACAGGCCGTTGCCCCTTGTCCTATCCCCACTAACCACTGCAAAGAGGGTGGCGAAATCCCACTGTCTCCCACGCTGAAGGTATTTGTAAACATTGATAAGATCCCCTCTCAGTCTTCTCTTCTCCAGGCTGAACAGACCCAGGTCTCTCAGTCTTTGCTCATAGGGAAGATGCTCCAGGCCCCGTATCATCTTTGTTGCCCTCCGCTGGACTCTTTCCAGGAGATCCTTGCCTTTTTTTGTACCGGGGAGCCCAGAACTGGACACAGTACTCCAGGTGAGGCCTGCCTAGGGCAGAGTAGAGGGGGAGGATCACCTCCCTTGACCTGCTGGCCACGCTCCTTTTAATGCATGCCAGGATCCCATTGGCCTTCTTGGCCACCAGGGCGCACTGCTGGCTCGTGGTCAACCTGTCGTCCACCAGGACCCGCAGGTCCTTCTCCGCAGAGCTCCTCTCCAGCAGGTCATCCCCCAGCCTGTACTGATACATGCGGTTGTTCCTTCCCAGGTGCAGGACTCTACACTTGCTCTTGTTAAACTTCATTTGGTTTCTTCCCGCCCAGCTCTCCAGCCCGCCCAGGTCTCGCTGAATGGCAGCACAGCCTTCTGGCGTGTCGGCCACTCCTCCCAGCTTTGTATCATGGGCGTACTTGCGGAGGGTGGACACTGTTCGCTCATCAAGGTCGTCGATGAAGATGTTGAACAAGACCGGACCCAGCACCGACCCCTAGGGAACACCGCTAGTCACAGATCTCCAGCCGGACTCTGCGCCGCCGATCGCCACCCTCTGAGCTCGGCCAGTCAGCCAGTTCTCAACCCACCTTACCGTCCACTTGTCTATCCCACGCCTTCTCAGCTTTGCTAGCAGGGTGTCGTGGGAGACAGTGTCAAAAGCCTTGCTAAAGTCAAGGTAGATGACGTCCGCTGCTCTCCCTCCATCAACCCAGCTGGTGATGCCATCATAGAAGGCTACGAGGTTGGTCGAGCACGATTTCCCCTTGGTGAATCCATGCTGACTACTCCTCATAACTTTCTTCTCTTCCAGTGGCTTGGAGATGGCATCCGGAACAAGCTGTTCCAACAGCTTTCCAGGGACAGAGGTGAGACTGACCTTTCCAAGAGCTCCACATCCTTCTTGTGCTGGGGGCCCCAGGCCTGCACGCAGTATTCCGGGTGGGGTCTCCCAAGAGCAGGGTAGAGGGGGAGAATCACCTCCCTCTCCCTGCTGGCCACCCCTTTTTTTAATGCAGCCTGGGACTTAGTTGGCCTTCCGGGCTGCAAGCGTGCGCTGCTGGCTCACGTCCAGCTTCTCGTCCGTCAGGACCCCCAAGTCCTTCTCCGCGGGGCTGCTCTGAAGTTCTTCTTCTCCCAGCCTATAGAGATACCTAGGATTGCCCCAGCCCAAGGTCAACGCCTTGCACTTGGCCTTGTCGAACCTCATTAGGTTCTCATGGGCTCAGTTCTCCAGCCTGTCCAGGTTCCTCTTGAACCTGGGATACGAAGATAGAAGTGCTTCCCTGTAGGGAAGGTTGTGGAACAACTTCTGAATAGGTCGTAGCTTGGACGCCATATTGCCTGTAGTTTTAATGGGGTATTAAACCCCTGAGAGTAATTTAGCTTCTGTGACTGAGTGGGGAAAAAAAAAAAGAGGAGGAAAAAAAAAAAAAGCAATAACAACAACCAGTGTTCTACTTGAAATAATATAGCTCGTTTCCCCTCGCAGTTTTTGAGCTGTGCAGGGCCAAGATTCCCCCAGCGGTGCTGACCAGCCGTTATTTAGGGAGCTTATTTCCACTGTAGTGTGTGAAATGTCCATGGTTGGGCTCAGGGACTAGGAATAGATTGGATATTCCTCATTGTATTTAATCCCCAAATTGATGGCTTGGTTTAGAGAATGAATGGAATGTTCAAGGAACAGTTTCAAAAGTTAACCAGTACTAAAACTTTACGGCATTGGAAGTTCACGTGTTACTGAAGCAGGGTTTTGTTTTGTTTTTTTGTTAAACAACTGGAATATTCATAATCACCCATCTTATGATTATATCATAACTCCTGCAGTTTAGATAATATCGAGGGTTGAAATTCCTCTGCATGGTCTTTCCCAAAGATATTAACCACTTGGGAAATCAAGTTTTTACACTGACCTATTGTGTGGTTGGATGGCAACATATTATTCTAGTTGTGAAAATTAATATAATAACCCCTGAGAATGCAGTATGGTCCCTCTTTACCTCTCTGCGGTATAGCTACTCTAAATTCTTCCCGTATTTTACATCCTCTGTTAATATCAGTTTCTTAAGTTCTTGTATGTCAGCTATCTTCAATTAATAGTTGTGTCTTATCTAGGATAGGTAGCACTGAAATCACGTTATTGGTGTTGCAAATCCAACATCAAATTTACTTTCATTCTCAAAAATTGGAAGCCATAGCTCTTCTGTCTGTCTGGGCCATCACCCCATCTCAAGTTACCATGCCCAGAGTAATATTCACTGAAGGAGCTGGAGCAATGGTGTATGTATTACTAGAAGGAGATGACACTCCTGTTTTTTCCTCCCTTATCACAGGCTGGTTCATAACACTTTGTTGTCTTGCACTACAAGCACATACTCCAGATACATTTCTGCAAGATCAATATGGAAATACTTGGGTTTCTAATTCATCAGTTGGAGAGCTAATTTGGCATTTAATTATGTAATTTGTAATTGGGAGCTAATTCATCAATTGGAGAGCCAAGGAGTGATCAGCAAGACTTTTAATAGTCCCATAGGGCCAGTGTGAAAGTCTAATGGTGAGTGGAGACTAACAGTGAACTATCGTGGCCTGAATGAAGTCACGCCAACACTGAGTGCTGCAGTACCGGACATGCTGGAACTCCAGTACAAACCGGAATCAAAGGCAGCTAAGTGGTATGCCACAATTGATATCGCTAATGCATTTTTCTCCATCCCTCTAGCAGCAGAGTGCAGGCCACAATTTGCCTTCACTTGGAGGGGAGTCCAATATACTTGGAATAGGCTGCCCCAGGGGTGGAAACACAGCCCTACCATTTGCCATGGGCTGATCCAGTCTGCGCTGGAGCAGGGGGGGAGCTCCTGAACACCTGCAATACATCGATGACATTATTGTGTGGGGTGACACAGCAGAGGAAGTTTTTGAGAAAGGGAAGAAAATAGTCCAAATCCTTCTGAAAGCCGGTTTTGCCATAAAACAAAATAAAGTCAAAGGACCTGCACGAGAGATCCAGTTTTTAGGAATAAAATGGCAAGATGGACGTCGTCAAATCCCAATGGATGTGATCAACAAAATAACAGCTATGTCTCCACCAACTAGAAAAAAAGAAACACAGACTTTCCTAGGTGTTGTGGGGTTTTGGAGAATGCACATTCCAAATTACAGTCTGATTGTAAACCCACTCTACCAAGTAACCCGTAAGAATGATTTCGAATGGGGCCCTGAGAAACAACAAGCCTTTGAACAAATCAAGCAGGAAATAGTTCATGCAGTAGCCCTTGGGCCAGTCCGAACAGGACCAGATGTAAAGAATGTGCTCTACACTGCAGCCGGGGAGAACGGCCCCACCTGGAGCCTCTGGCAGAAAGAACCTGGGGAAACTCGAGGTCGGCCCCTGGGGTTTTGGAGTCGGGGATACAGAGGATCTGAGGCCCGCTATACTCCAACTGAAAAGGAGATATTGGCAGCATATGAAGGAGCTTGATCTGCTTTGGAAGTGGTCGGTACTGAAGCGCAGATCCTCCTGGCACCCTGACTGCAGGTACTAGGCTGGATGTTTCAAAGGAATGGTCCCCTCTACACATCATGCAACTGATGCTACATGGAGTAAGTGGCTCATGTTGATTGCAAAACAGACTTGAATAGGAAACCCCAGTCGCCCAGGAATATTGGAAGTGATTATGGACTGGCCAGAAGGCAAATACTTTGGGATATCACTGGAGGAGAAGGTGGCCCATGCTGAAGAAGCCCCACTGTATAACAAGCTACCAGAAAATGAGAAGCAATATGCCCTGTTCACTGATGGGTCCTGTCATATCGTGGGAAAGCATCGGAGATGGAAAGCTGCTGTACGGAGTCCTACATGACGAGTTGCAGAAGCTGCTGAGGGAGAAGGTGAATCGAGTCAGTTTGCAGAAGTGAAGGCTATCCATCTGGCTTTAGATATTGCTGAACGAGAAAAGTGGCCAGTCCTCTACCTCTATACTGATTCATGGATGGTAGCAAATACCCTGTGGGGATGGTTACAGCAATGGAAGCAAAACAACTGGCAGTGCAGGGGCAAACCCATCTGGGCTGCTGCATTGTGTCAAGATATTGCTGCTCGGATAGAGAACCTGGCTGTAAAGGTATACCATGTAGATGCTCATGTGCCCAAGAATCGGGCTACTGAAGAACATCAAAACAACCAGCAGGTGGATCAGGCTGCTAAGACTGAAGTGGCTCAGGTGGACCTGGACTGGCAACATAATTATTTATGGGTTTTGTGAGATATGTTCATCTGATTCGTGTCAGTATGGAACAGTGCTAGGGCCGCATGGTATGATGAATGTGACCTTCTGTCTTACATACCCTTGTATAACCACAAGTCTAAGAAAAACAGAATGGTTAATGTATATAGTTCTTGTACCTTGCAAAGGAATGTTAACAATTTGTGTCACTAGAGAGCAGTTCTGTCTGTCTCTGGGTCCTGCACTGGTAATTTAATTCTTCCACATATGTGGTTTCTTCCCTTTCTTCCCAGTGTCCCAGTCTCCCTCTCATTATAGTCAATTTATCAAATCTTCAGAAATATTCCTCAAATCCATGAGCCTATTTGCTTTTTTATTCTGAACTCTTATTCCTAACAGTTACAGCCTTTTTGCCTTCTTCGTGGTTGATTTAGCACTGCTATAGTTGTGACTGGAGTGTCCCTGTGAATGGCCTGTGAGGAATGTTTTAACTACTCATGAAGTGTCAATAAGAGAGCTATTTGTGTTTGTATGTTCTTTCTTTGAAGTCTCTGATGTCTGGGGGTTTCAGAACAACTGCTAACAACTAGTGGCTGTTATGGCTTCTGAATGGGACACTATGCAAGCTCCTGATATCTGGCCAGGTGGCCAGGAGATTAAGGAGAAGAAAGAAGCTGAAGGAGGGCTAGAAGACAAAACTTGCAGGGAACTCTGTGTAAGCTTCTGACATGCTGCCAAGGAGTACAAAGGGGAAGGACAAGAAAAAAAGCCTGAGAGGAAGACTATGATCCTTCAGCATGAAAGATCTTCAGAGGGAGCACCAGAGACTGATGCGCATGCTCCAGTAGGAGTGTTTGGATCCCGGAAGCTAATTATAGTAACCTGTTTTTTTTTTTTTTTTTTTATAGAATCATAGAATATCCTGAGTTGGAAGGGACCCTTAAGGATCATCAAGTCCAACTCTTGACACCGCACAGGTCTACCCAAAAGTTCAGACCATGTGACTAAGTGCACAGTCCAATCTCTTCTTAAATTCAGTCAGGCTCGGTGCAGTGGCCACTTCCCTGGGGAGCCTGTTCCAGTGTGCAACCACCCTCTCTGTGAAGAACCCCCTCCTGATGTCAAGCCTAAATTTCCCCTGCCTCAGCTTAACCCCGTTCCCGCGGGTCCTGTCACTGGTGTTAATGGAGAAAAGGTCTCCTGCCTCTCGACACCCCCTTACGAGGAAGTTGTAGACTGCGATGAGGTCTCCCCTCAGCCTCCTCTTCTCCAGGCTGAACAGGCCCAGTGCCCTCAGCCGTTCCTCGTACGTCTTCCCCTCCAGGCCTTTCACCATCTTCGTAGCCCTCCTCTGGACACTCTCCAACAGTTTCATGTCCTTTTTATACTGTGGTGCCCAGAACTGCACACAGTACTCGAGGTGAGGCCTCACCAGCGCAGAGTAGAGTGGGACAATCACCTCCCTTGACCTACTAGCGATGCCGTGCTTGATGCACCCCAGGACACGGTTGGCCCTCCTGGCTGCCAGGGCACACTGCTGGCTCATATTCAACTTGCTGTCTACCACGACCCCCAGATCCCTCTCTTCTAGGCTGCTCTCCAGCGTCTCATCGCCCAGTCTGTACGTGCAGCCAGGGTTTCCCCGTCCCAGGTGCAGGACCCGGCACTTGCTCTTATTGAACTTCATGCGGTTGGTGATCGCCCAGCTCTCCAACCTATCCAGATCCCTCTGCAAGGCCTTTCCACCCTCAACAGAGTCCACAACTCCTCCAAGTTCGGCACAACATTTGCCAGCTTCCAGTCTACCGGGACCTCTCCAGACTCCCAGGATCGTTGAAAAATAATTGAGAGAGGTTCTGCGATGACGTCCGCCAGCTCTTTCAGCACCCGGGGATGAATCCCATCCGGACCCATGGACTTGTAGGGATCCAGGTGGAGTAGCAAATCCCGCACACGTTCAGGGTCGGTTGGGAGTTTGTCATCCCCACTGTCCCGGTCCTCCAGCTCAGGGCACCCTGGGTCCCGAAGCCCATCATCGGCATTGAAGACAGAGGCAAAGAAGGCGTTAAGCGTCTCTGCTTTGCCTATGTCATTGTCTGTGAGGAGACCTTCCCTATCAAGGAGCGGCCCTATGTATTCTTTAGTTCTCCTTTTTCCATTCACATATCTAAAAAAAACCTTTTTATTTTCTCTCACAGACACAGCCAGCTTCAACTCTAGGTGTGCTTCGGCCACACGAATTTTCTCCCTACAAACACGAACAGCATTCCTGTATTCTTTCCATGACACCTGGCCCTCCTTCCAGTAGCGAAACACTCTCTGTTTCCGCCTAATCTCCATTAGAATGTTCCTGATCAGCCACGCCGGCCTCCTGCCCCGCCTGCCTGACTTGCGATATTTAGGAATTGCCTGATCTTGTGCTTCTAGGAGGCATCGCTTAAAGAATGACCAGCACTGGTGGACATCGAGGCCTTCAAGAGCAGTTTCCCAGGGGACCTTGCTGACTAGTTCCCTGAGCAGCCTGAAGTCCGCTTTCCCCATATCTAGGGATGAGGTTTTGGTGGCACTTTTCCTTCTGTCACCGTAAATTTTGAACTCAACCACTTCATGGTCGCTATGACCGAGGCGGCCACCAATCACCACATCTCCCACCAGACCCTCTCTGTTTTCTAGCAACAGGTCTAGGAGGGCACCTTTCCTAGTTGGCTCCATTAGCACCTGCACCAAGAAGTTATCATCAAGGTGCTTCATGAACCTCCTGGACTTGCTTGTGTCAGCCGTGTGGCACTCCCAGTTAACGTCCGGCAAGTTGAAGTCCCCCATAAGGACAAGGGGAGTTAATCTCGAGGCCTCTCTTAGTTCTGTAAAGAATAATTTATCGGCGCTATCGTCCTGGCCAGGCGGTCTGTAATAGACTCCCACAACGACATCCCCTTTATTCGTTCGTCCCTTGATCCTTACCCAGAGGCTCTCAACTTTGCCATCGCCGACCTGAAGTTCCACACAGTCCAGCCCCTGCTTCACATACATCGCCACCCCACCACCTCGCCTACCCTGCCTGTCCCTCCTGAAGAGCCTGTAACCATCTATCGCAACACCCCAGTCACAGGACTCATCCCACCAGGTTTCGCTTATGCCGATGATGTCGTAGTTGCGGGACTGGGCCAGTACTTCTAGCTCATCCATTTTATTCCTCATACTGCGTGCGTTCGTGTAAAAGCATTTCAGGTGCGTCTCCTTACACTCAGCACCTTGTGGATCTGACCGAAGGACCTCACTGGCACACAGCCCCTCTGATTCTAGCGTACCATCCCTTAGGTCTTCACCGGCGTGCCTGGTTTTAGCCCCTTCCCCCTTCGACTCTAGTTTAAAGCCCTATCTATCAGCCCTGCCAACTCCTGACCAAAGATCCTTACCCCTCTCCGAGAGAGGCGCATCCCATCAGGTGCCGTCAGGCCTGGTGTAGCATAGACCTTCCCGTGATCAAAGAACCCAAAGTTCTGCCGGTCACACCAGTCTCGAAGCCACGAGTTTATGTGAACAGCACGCCTTTCAGCTTCGATCCCC